GCCAAAAGACCCTCGGTGGACAATCAAATCCATCTAGAGCTTTTTATTCAAAGTTTTCCATGTAGATATTAGCCAAAATCGGGGATATTTGGGGCCTGATTGGCAATATATAACCGAGCCACAAGCAACGTAACAGGTTCAAACATACTTTTATACAATCAACTATCTCGTCTGCGGAAAGTTGCGTTCGTTCTTACAGCGTCTTGTCTGCCAGTAACAGCCTTCTCGCTACTTTCAGAGCGTCCGCTTTTGAGACATTCGTTGACATCGAGTTAACATCTAAGAACCTTGTTTAAGACTCATGTACTTCCTAGAAAAGTCATACAAATCTTAAATGTGTGTGGGTGATTTTACGGCAGTTTACTAACCGAAAGGTCCGTAGTTTGAACCTGACCTCTGCCTCTCGATTTCCCTTGTCTAGGCTCGGGCAACCTGGTAGTATCCATCTCTCGTGCTTGCTTCTGGTAGCATGGAGGTTTATCACCTATAAGTGCTACAACTGGGCAAGTTATGACTTTTCTGCAGAGAGTCACCCTTACTCATGACGACCGTGACTTGGCCGTCATATGCCTTCGTAATTATTATACTGTTTATGTGTTTTAAGGTGTTCAAGACTATTCGCTGTGCTGGTGCAATAATTGAAACTCCTGGTTTATCACTGTCAGCCTTAATAACCGCGTACTTGTCATACAGTGGTTTTAGCTGCCACAGATTCGTTCACCGATGATTCGAGAGAGAGAGAGAGCTGATAAATTAGTGCGTATATACAGCACTGTAGGTGGAACCCCTGGTCGCCGGACTTTGACCAACTGTACATGTAATTTATCACCTTCCATTGAAGGAAGCTTCTGAAACACGAACTCAGGACCAGGAATGATCTCTTCTACCCTAAGACTTTTACTGTGAAATTCAACCCCTTCTGAACAGGCGATGTTCTTCGTCACTTAAGGGTCTGTCTGATATACCGACTACGCTGCAATAGCTTGCAGGTAGCTTACTTTTTTATCTCGGTTGACCAGAACAGGGAGCCGTGGAGAGCAATCTTTCGAACTTCCGTATCTGTTTATATATGCATTGTTTACTTTGAACTGAGTTTACTCCCGTCAAGTAATTCGAAATATGCAGGTGAAAGTCCGGACTGAAGATCTTGGTTGGGCCAACACCTTGGATGGTTAAATTGATCATTTGTTTGAGAAATGACTTGGCCGTTGAGAAGACGATTGAGGCGGAAGCGATGACGTGTCTAGCGGCTTAACAACCATAGACTTTGGAATGATATTGTGCTTTACGCATCTGATGTTGAAAACGCTGTGGTTCCCCCAGTTTGCCGCTAATCTCGCCAATCGAACATACTCGCTTGTCGATTTCCTGGCCCATAGATGTTTTTGACCAATTGGAAAATGTTTGTGACTGATTGTGTAGTCATCCATTCAAAGGGGTTTGGTCAACAATCGGCAAATTTATTACTGGGTAGCGTTGCTTTTCTGACATAAAGGCTTCATCAGGCCAAGTGAATAACTTTTCAGGTTGATCGGATTTTAAGACAGTCTTTGAATCGTTCTGTGAGATTTCTTATTAATATCCGACCTGATCAGTGCTAGACGTCCATCTGGGGTTCCTGTTTGTTGGTTAGTAGGAATGGCTAACACTTGGTTGGGGGCTTCATATTGAATCCCTGCTTTGCGACCTTGCTTTTCCGGTCTAGGACACCCGTATGGACTATTTCTCTTGAGAGTTCACACATTTTGTTCATGTGTGTGCGTCGAGAGTCACCAAGATAATTGGATTGGAGTTGGCGGAGGGTGGTTATATGTATCTTACTCTTCTCGCATTGTGCGTGTACTTTTAAACCCAGACCATTTTAGTGATAACTGCACACCACGTGTCATCTGGGCTGATCTAAAACCGCTGTCCACACGCTTTCCAGTTCTGCGCCCTATAGTTCATTCATACTTGGATGCTTGGCGATTTCCACCAGCTCGGCCACCAGTCCGTGGTGTGAATCTAATACCCCGTCTCAAAATTTCCACGTTTTCCAAATCTATCCTGGAACCCTTTGACATGCACAGACGAACAAAATCCCTGAATGGCCCCTAATGGGAATACTAGGGCCGCAAAATACGGATTTAACACGAAAACGACCCCCCAAACCTATATTTCGAACGGCTTATCTTCATCTAATCATCCTAAATGTTTCTCATTTTTTGTGTCGATCTCCAAGTGGGGCGACGTTTGCAGCAGCACAACTCAAATCGTACGTAATTACGTAATTGGTCCTGTACCCGACAGTTCGAGAATTCTAATGTTTGAAAAACACTCAATCAACCTAACTCTCGTTTACGATATTCTTCGACTAAATGTGCTGCACAAAGGCCGCCTCATGTTTCAGTTGGCACGATATTCGTAGTATGTTTTCATAAAGGAAACTACTCACTAGGTCGCTGAAAACTGTTCGACAGCCCATGACCGGTTTCGCCCTTCTTGGGGCTCATCAGATGGGCTCATTCTCCGAGTTTCCGTCAACTTTATATTGTACTACCCTAATTGGACTGGTTTTTGGAAAATACACTCAGATTTGCGTATCACAAGAGACAAAACTGATTCTCTCGTTTATGAGTAAGTCTACGCGGTTTACTCCAAGAAGGGTGAAGCTAATCGTCGAAGAATTTTCGGCAACCTTGTGAGTGATCTCTTCCTCAGTGGTTAGCGCGATTTTACTGACCGGAATGTTCTTGGTTCGAACCCGACCTCTCACTCTCGGCTTTTTTTGTCTAGGCTTGGGCAGCGTGGCAGTATCCCAACCCTCGTGCTTCCTTTGGGTGGCATGACAGCTGGGCACCGAAAAGGTGATACAGCTTCTTTTCCCCTTCAACTTCGGTGGTTGAAAATTCTAATACGTCACTCGAGAAAAACCTGTCTACTAAATATACGACTGGTGTTGGTTCGAATCACACAAAGATTATACAATTACGTCGCACACTTAGAAGTGTACAGCACCCATTAGAACGCCAATGATCCAGGCGATGATCACAGTTTTGCCGTTCTTGACATGTACAGTGCATCATGGTCATGATTAGCGTTTTCAATCTTAATTAATCAATAATGAGCAAACTTCAACTTGCTCGTCATTGACTCGCGACTGATGGGGCATGGGAGCGCCAGTATACCGTAAGTTCGATTCCTCTCATGCAGGAATGTTCATAGGTTCTTCCCAATATTTTTTGATAGGTGGATTGGGTTGTATATCGTATGAGACAAAACAAATACGCTGGCTTAAAAGAACACCATAGTACTTCTAATTTCGGTATGACCTAAATCTAAGCTCCCGGGTTACAACAAGTCCTATTGTTGTACTGTGTGAACGCGTTCGTCTTAACCACATCCGTTCTTCAAGTAAACAACCATGACCCGAAAACAACGCGGAGAGTCGGAAACACTTGAGTTATTTTTATGGCGACATTCTTGAACACTTTTTCGAAATGGTGCCCCTCGGTTGCGCGCTATTTTTTGCTAAGATGTGCGACTTCTACCATCATGCAGTTAATTATAAACCGATAAATCGTCCCATAGCCACATCGACTGACCACATAGAAACTGCACTGAGTCGCCTGGTTTCATTGCTTAACTCATGCTTCACGAATCCAGCCCTTCAGCTTAGGTTAAGGTTTATCCTGCAACATAGACAATATACCCAGCCCTACCGTTCACTATTTTTCCAACTGAGTCACATGAAAATTATTTTTGAAATGAAAACATTTTACAGATTAATCGTGAAGAAAAATTTACAAATAGACGACGTGCATGTTCTAAAGTTTGGTTTTCTACAAAGTATCCGTCCGTAGCAACTGTTCATCACCTTAGCCATATTTTGGAATGTAGGTAGCTCGGGTGCGCTGCTTGGCTGTCGGATTGCAAACGTTTCATCACCAATCGAGGGGACATCGTCAGTGCAGGGTTTAATGGGTTTTCATCACCTTCCTTAGAGTCGCACCCGTTCACAATATTCGATTGTAAACTTTTTGGCCTATTCTTACAGAAACAACTCATCAAATATCCTCAAAGGATAAATCCAGGGAGTTGCTTAGAATGGCTAGTCAAACAGACTTCCTCTATTGAATTTCCTCTACCCGAGTGTCTCAAGATATTTGCATGCGCTGCGGACAGTAGTGTGGTGGGGCGCCACGCTGCTTCAGCAGGATTGCTTGCGTTGCAACAGGTGCAACCTTATGGTTAGCATGTTATGTCTAGACAATGGACAATGGTACCAACTGATATGTGAGGTCACCCTGAGTGGCACAATCAGTTAAAGAAGACCATCACAAACGAGACGCAACTTGATTCACCATCATCATCGACAGGATGACATCAGTGTTCAACACCGATGTTTCACTCGATTCGAGTCTCTCGTTAACAAATTGTGCCCAAACTATACTATTTGGCGAATTCCGTCTAATGTGGGTCTAAGTAGAGCTTAAGGCTGACGGGATCCCGGTGACTGCTCTTACCTGACGAGACACAAGAAGGGCTGTCGAAGAGTTTTCAGCAAACTTCTAAGTAGAGATAACTCGGTGATTAAGGCACGAACTTTTTAACCGGGAGTCCGTAGTTGGAACTCAACCCCCGGCACTTCGACTGGTTCTGTCAAAGATTAGATGACCTGGTAGTTTCTCAGACTTCGTGCTTTTTTCGGGTGGCATGGCAGCTAAGCACTGGTTCATTATCAACCTCATTGATTATTAATAATGGTGTGTTTGGAAGCGAGATGGCTCAGCGCGAATTTACTGACCGGAAGGTTCATGGTTCGAACCCAACCTCTGTTTCTCGACTTCCCCCATCTAGGCTTGGGCAACCTGGCAGTATCTCAGCCTTCGTGCTTCCTTATTTTGTCATGGCAGTTAGACACCGAAAGGGTGCCTCAGCCAAACGAATAGTGTGTCACGTTCAGTGCTCATCCATTCTTCTACCAACTTGCATCCTTCATTTTCTCCTTCGTTGTAGGTCTGTCTCTTCTAATGAACTCTGGGGTGATATTTCTTATTTTTCCGTTGATAATTTCTTGTGATGCGTGGAACACAGATGAACTTCAGATGTTTGATCTCATGGATGAACTGAAAATAAGTTTCTACGATTTTTTGGGTGTCGAGCAGGTGAGCGATAAATATTTCTTACCTATCTACTCCGTTTTTTTAGACTGCTTCTTCTTCGGAGATTAGAAGCGCGTACAGGAAACTCTCTGTTAAACTCCACCCAGATAAGAATGTGGGTGATCCGGCTGCCGCCGACAAGTTTCGTCAACTCGCCTCAATATATGAAGTATTGAAAGATGATGAACGACGCAAAAGGTTTGTTTGTAATCATCGTCTGAGGTCACTTCATTCAGCTATGATGAAGTACTGGAAAACGGGATGCCGGACTGGAAAACAACTGTTTTCTACTACCGCAAATTGCGGAAGATGTCGAATATTGAGCTGGGGATTCTTTTCGTCCTTCTCTCAACAACCATCCATTATGCCGCACTTTGGGGTGCCCGCTTTGAGAGATCTTGGACTTTGGTGTGTGAACCTTCACTGGATTTTGATCCTTTTCTTTCAGGAAGAGCAGTTGAGCAATCACTACAAACGTCACAAAGCTCGTGACCGAAGGCGAGAAGAAATTGACGAACTTATTACTACAGAGCTGCGCAAAATCCCTCGACCAAAGTGGCACGATTTACTACCGTTCGCGATCTGCAAGGGAGTGTATTCGCTCATATTGGCTCTCCTTGTGCTCCTGCACTTTGCCAAGGTGCATGTTTCTGAAAAGATTGAAGAGAAGCGACAAACTTGGCGGGAGCTTGGTAGGTTTGATTCTGGCCGTGTTACCAAGATTCACAGTGTATTTTCGTCTCACTAGGAAATTACACTCCCCTCACGGGATTTCTAGTATAAGATTGTTGGTGTACTGGGTCACTGAAAGATTGGTTTGGAGAATGTTTTCATCTGATTTTTTTCATTTCACATTTTTCGCGACTGAGTTACTTTTTGGTGAAACTGGAATGGTAATGCCTGATTGAGTCATAGTTGTTACACCGGCCTTCACGTTTTCAAATGCATATTTTACAACACAGCATCCTCCCTGTTTATTCGAAATGCTACCGCTTAATTAGATTGTCAACATTTTACTCTTACAATAGCGCCCTTCTAGTTAGGGGAAATGCTACATGCTTCCAGCTATCAATTAGAACATTCAAAGATCGTTCAAAGACGCATGCGTGGTTTATCTGATATGGGTACGCGGTAAAACTCTTGTATAATGGAATCCCCAAGAGTTCTAACGAGGGACGTAAAACATGTTTTTTCGGTAGCGAACTATTCCTTTGCAGGGCAAGTTGCGTCGTCAGTCGGTGGACATCGTTGAACGAAACTGCGGCAGCTACAACCACTGTACGACGAGTACGCGGTTATTACAGCTGACAATGATGATTACCCACCACCGTTTGCTTCGTGAACTTGAAGGCAATTAAAATAAAACTGCCGCAGAGCTGACGCAGCATTCATCTGCTATTGAGATGTGGAAATTGACCCATTTTATCTCGCGCTTATGCTGTGCGTCAGTCGCACCAGGAAGTTTTTGTTGTTACCCACCCTTAATCTCAGTAAAATTCGGCTTGTGCGTGCGCTCTTAGGAAATAGCTAATATATGGGCTCCTTGGAGAACTGTTTCTCTCGGAATTTTGTTCAAGTGTGGCCTTTCAAATGGAAATATTGTTGAATCACGTAGGTATAAGTAGTTTTTCTTTAGATTTTCCTCACTCTGCACGTAGTACTCGGTCGACTTCAGGCGCTTTTGAATTTACTGAAAACACACCATGCAGGGTTTTTACTTCACCAGAAGGAAATAGCTTCTATGAAAAACCCGAAGTGGTTGACATGCTTGATTAATGTGCTGACAACTTTTGTGTTCAACTGGATCAGCTGAATGTGACCTTCTCATTAGTTTGTGGAAGCTTTAGGTTGGCTTTTGTACCCACTGAGTTGAATGTGGTAGCTAGCGTAAAACATAATCATGCCGGCATAGAAGTTGTTTAAAGGTCCCTCAGGAATGCTTAACACTGGAAACAATGAGTGGATTTTTATGTCTTATCTGTTGTCGGTTGAATTAGGTACGGGACGAAAATGCGAATTTATCGGTGTGTCTGTGAAAGCTTGTTCGAAAGTTGCGTACCGTTGTTATGGAGATTGCAGTGCTTCTTCTGACTGTTTCCTGATCTAGTAGACCAACATATGATCATCTTATATGTTACGGCAGTCAATGCCAGTCGACATTGTTTGTCCTCAACCTGAGTGAGACAGGCGTTTCAGGATAAATATTTCGGGAATTTTTTTTATTCCATCACATTATATTCATACACGTGTAAGTTGGTATCGAAACTATCATACCACTCTTTCGGCTTCTTCATCAGGCTCCTAAATTAACCGGTTTTCTCAGAGAAGCTGCCCCCTCTGATAAGCATTTACACTTATTTATAGTCCATTGTCCTCTCTTGCAGAGGACAAGAAAGTGAAGACGGAGGTCAAAGAGCGGAAACGACGTAACAAGGTTCAACCGACTGACAAGTCCACTCCGTATGATGCAGAAACCCTGAATGCTTTCGTTAGTTTGGCCGATATACCACCTGAAACTACACGAGAGCCTATCAGTGAGAACGTGGAGAAAACATCCAATAGGGAGGTAAGCATCTGTCTAGGCTACCTATGCGATTTTGGTGGTACGGAGCTCTTGTAAAGTGGTTACTAACCCTTCTAAAATTTGGCTGGTGGTGGCACAACCACCGACCCACCGCTCATTAACGCACTGATGCTGTTACCTCGATTGATGATGAAACGTTTGCAATCAAATGGCTCAGGTCAGCGAACAAGCCAACTACATATGGTTAATGACCAAGTCTCTTGTCAGCTCGCAAAACAGTGGTGTTTCCGTAGGCTATTGTTGTCCAATAGCCCCACACTGAGCATAATTCACGGTGGATTCGACTTAGTGCAGTTGACTCCTGTGGAACGATAACTGGGTTGCATGAACAACACTCACTACCAGGTGGCCTACAGGCATCACGATAATCGACGTCCCTGGACGTAGACGGACAGCTTTGATATTCCTTGATATTGTTTTGGATATATCCTGTGGAGATCCCTTTGACCTTTATCGTTTCAGATTTTGTCAATGAATACCAGTGGTCCTATTATTTCTAGTCTCCCGAATTTCCTGCACTGCGGTCTTCAGTTGCTGTGTTCACTTGTGTACGACTGATAGAGGGTTGATAGTCCACACTTTGTCGTTCGAGCTAATCTCTGACCGTTATCGCAACGAGTTCTACCGTAGGAGTACCATTTTGGCGCTATTGGTTTGCGTTCTCACCTTATCCCTTACTAGATCGTTCGGAAATTGTTGGAACCGTGATATTTGAACAAGAATATCCACCTTATTGTCACTTTCAGACTTTTAAAAGGGACTTTGTTCCTAGATGCGTTGATTTTGTAACCGATTTCGGCCGAGTACTGCCAAACGTGATCTGGTATATGACCAGAAAATGGATAGTCAAATTCCAATCAGCAGTAAGATGTTCTCTCATGCAGTCCTGAGAGTATGATCCGTTACCCATTCGATGGTGTAATGTAATGGGACTTGATAGTGGATAGAGCCGCGTTGGGTATTGTCACGTTTCACATGCTGCTGTGGTCCATGAAATGGAGAGCTCTGCGTTATTCTAGTCAGCAATTAGTAAAGAGCTCTTAGAATCGGAGACCATATTTCAGTATGCGAAACTTGCTAATGATTTGATGGATTTGACGTCCTACACGAACTTTTGACAATCGGGATCCGATTGGGCAAACGCGTTACGAATCCTTTGGACCATGAGGGTGAAAATCCGATAGTTTTCGTGGATGGATTGTTTCCTTTGGTACTGGCACCACAGTCCCTCTTTATTCCAGTCTCAGGTGTCCTCTCTAAGATTGTTCTGTTGTCTGGATGTTTCCCTTCCCTCTCAGGTGATGAAGCTTGCATATTACGAACTTGCATACTGAGCTGATCGAGTTTTGCCACATTCCATACAGTAATTTTGTCTCAGCTGCAACGGTTGCTGTAAGTGTCGAACAATTCCCAAGCATGCTTAGTGTATATGTAGCCGTGCGTGCAGTACTATTGACAGCAAAGTTTATGTGGGGCTATACGTGGTGGACTACTCGATCGAGTGATGAAGCCCGATATTATCTCAAATTGATGGCTTTAAAACAATTCAGCGTCGCAAAACACCATCTTCTGAGCACTATTACCACTTTAGGAAACGGGTCTGCATTCGCCTCTCTTGGGCGAGGCGGCTCGGTGGTTAGGGCGCGAATTTACTGGCAGGAAGGTCCGTGATTCGAACCCGACCTCTGCATCTCGACTTCCCCTGTCTAGTCTTGGGCGACCTGGCAGTGTCCCAGCCCTCGTGCTTCCTTCTTTTGTTATGGCAGCTAGGCACCGGAAGGGTGCTACAGCTGAACGTTTATACCAGAATGCTAAAGTTGTTTTCGGGTATATCTGTCCGATTTGTGTTCAGTTTTGACCGCACATGTATCGTACGACCGTCGGACATTGTGCTCGTGCATATATGTAATAAATGACGATGTTTTCCAGAGGAGTCCGAAGAAAGCCCTCGTCAAACGCACCGTATATGTACAAGGGGTGAACCAAGCTAGCCAGAAAATGTGCGGCTTACGAATGTGTATAAGATACGGGACCGAATACCATACCCCTGTACAGTTTTTGTTTCGTTTATACGTGCCGTTTCCTTCACGGCATGGGAGACGAATACGTGTACAGTGCGGTCGGTGTGGAAAGTCGCCTACCCGTATTAAAAAGAGTATCGTTGTGGGGAGAAGAGGACGAAGGAACGTGGAACAAATAACTGTAATGTACAAGGAGTCTATGATGAGCCATCTGCATTGGCAATTTAAAGCGGTTAGCTTGAAATGACGCCCAAAACTGAGGAAAACGGTGTATCTCTCTATAGGTACGGATCGTTGTAGAGTCCGTTGTAGTGCTTCTCATTTTGATGCTTTTATTGTTTTCCTCTACAAAACTCCGACAAAACAAAACATATACTAGAGAGTGGTCGTAATCTGAAGAGACGAGCACTCTCTCCCTTGCGACGAACTTCGTGTCGTTTGTAGTGGCTTCAGTACACTGTTCGGCTGGAAATCAACAGAGCTATAATCTCGTTGGCCAGCCGAAACGCTCGCTTCTAGCGTACTCTGTCTGTGTCGATTATCTATTTCTGGAAATGAACAAACTGTTTCTTTGTTCAAGTGGTCTGAAGAGGACGTCATCGAACTTGTACATGCCGTATCCCGATTTCCTGGTGGTGTGGCCGGTCGCTGGGAACGAATTGCTGCTCAACTCAATCGGACGGTTTCGGACGTCACAAAGAAGGCCAAAGAGCTTGGGGAAAGGAAACTGTATGCGGTCTACCAAAAGAGTATGTCCAACCAAAACCGCTCACAGTCTTGTATGTAATAGGCTTTGCTGGGTACAATCGCCCCTCCCTCTATTCAAAATTCATCTTGAGGAGTGCGTTGATTAGGTAACAGAAGAAAACGCGTGTGGTGTGTTTTACCTGATCGGCACACCTCTAGGTGTGCAATAGGGCTCAACGATCCATTGATAATAATAGTAATAATAATAATAATAAAAAGTGTGCAACAGTGGAAGACCAAATCGCTGACTGCTAGATTCGAACCGCGTCAGGATCCTCAAAATGGATTATGCTTTCATCTTGAAATTTCATTTCATGGAATTACAGCAGCATTGCCTTTGATTTGGAACCCGGTTATAGGAATATGTTTTTTCAATATATTACATATTTAACTTATATTAGTATCAGTTTGCGGATGAGTGTTTATCACAGCAGGCGTACGATTTCGGGTTCCAGTAGGAAATGAGGCTGACGGAGATGGACTAGACCTACCTGATGAGCCCCAGAAAATCGGCAATGGATTGTCAAGAGTAGTATATATTAACAGCACAACGTTAATACCTCTTTTCTTATGCGTTTCGAGCATTAGCTTGGTATGAGCTTGCTCTGAGGTGTTGATGCACCAAGCAGAGCAAGAGCTGCAGGATTTGCAAAGAACAGGGTTATGACGTTTTTGGATATATCGTTCTTTCCAGGCTGAATCTTTGCAGATTCGAGGAGAGATATTGGTTGTCCTGTGACGCAGACATAGTCATGTACATCTTCAATAATTGGCCTAACCAGGTTACATTGCCAAGCTACATTACCAATTACTTTCGTGCGGTTTGGCATCCTTACAACCTGTCACTACAGATGACATAAAAATAAAAAAGTGCAAACAAATCCTGCACTTTCATCCCGGAAAGAGTTGCTGCCCATTTTGACGACTGTCTGTGTTCTTACTTGCTCGAACCTTTTGTATCTTCGTACTTTGTGCGAAGCTGAGTACTGTATGACCCGTATTCATTTATGTAAAAAACTGCAACTCCACGGTTACATGGAACATAATTTACCTCATTCGTGGCAGGTACTTTTCGACCCTGGTAGTCGTGTTGGTTCGGCATGGCTCCCGGACTGCCTAGATCTGGTTTCTCAGATGTTTTATTCCATTAGACGAAACATCCGCACACCATGTCATGCATCTCTTGTGCCTATTCGAAATAGCATTCACCACGGTCGGTTCGGAAATGTAATATGGTGTAACTGATCAGCTCAGCTTCTCTGCGTTCGTTCTTAATCCAAACCAAAGTGATGAGGCAGTTGAATCGAGTTTACATGTTCATACCCATGGCCTTATATGTGTTCATTCCAAGGCTTTAACGTGCGGCTTAAGTGTGTTACCAAATACTCATTTCCTGCCATCTGTTGTGTGAGGATGAGCCAGATTCTTAGATGTTTTGGATCCCAGCCTCACAAGCTTTATGAAGGTCAAATATGCGTGGTTCCACAACACCTGAATTAGCGCAGGTGAATATGTACCAACTTGCTTAGGATTTCCTGGCCGAATTCGGCTCGGATAGTGTAAAGTGGATTGAGCGACATGTATTGTATAATGTGGTATTTGCATTGTGACTCTTCGAATCCACACACAGTTATCGGATCTCTGGCGAATCGCGTCAAGAAACTATTCTCGGACGAGTCCATACGTGCAGACGAACTGAAGCGACTCAGTAAGGTATTACAGCAAAATAAATACCCCTATGGTGCTCATTGCCCAACAAATCGGGCTACCCGCTACGGAACGGTGAGGCAGGAACACGAAAACCCGATAGCTGTCGTGCGAAAACTCTATAGAACTGGCATTCGAAAGCCATTTCGGGATCATGACATTTAAACATTCTTCCGAATTGATAACACCTCACAACGACACCCCGTAAGGACTAGGGACCCTATTGAACTTAAACACCGCACAAACTGCGTCTGTCAAATTCTCTGTGCTGAATGTCCGGCCAACTACATAGGCCAGACAGCCAGGCAACTCCAGTTGCGAATCACGGAGCACAAACGACATGTACGTTTTCCTCCAAGAAAAGCAGTAGAGTTTTTTTTCTCCAGTTTCAATCACGGAGCACAAACGACATGTACGTTTTCCTCCAAGAAAAGCAGTAGAGTTTTTTTTTAACTTGATCGCAACTCGGCCATTGTACTCCACGCACTTGAGTCAAGCCATCAAATCAACTTCTACGGTACATGTATACTGCCGCCAGGATTCAAGTCACACGTGGAACGGACGTGCGTTAACCGAACTGAATCAACCGTAGTGATGACTTCAGCATCCCGTCCATCCGACTTGGACTTGCACACTCTAGTCGGCATAGTAGCCAGGTATCACACACGGATCTCTACAATGACGCATCACAGCCGGCACAACAACAGAGACATCCTAATCAAATAACACTCGCGCGTACATACACGCGGAGCTAACACGTCTACACAGGCTGGTCGTATCGGCCTGCCAACTGATCACAGGAACAAGCCAATCAGAAAACATGATAGTGGACCAAAGTGACGCTGCATTCGACCCCTACTCCATTGGCTGTAGGAATTCTTGAGAAAGATTGGTCATGGCAACCTAAACGTCGGATTACAGCATGTATTCCACTACGTTGTTTTAACCCTAAGAGTGTCATATTATCCAACTTGATTAGTGAGCTTGACGCCTGGAACCGCCGAGTATTTCCTGTTTGAACCCGAGTAGAATCGCAGGTGAAAATCACATGCCCCTCTAGTGTACTCGATCGGCCGTTCATTTCATCGTAGTCAACAAAATCTTATAAAGCTGTCTGTTCCTGTAGTAAATTCCCCAAACCCGTTTGTTATACAGTAATCCTTCAATGGATGACACCACGGAGAAAAGGGCTTTTTGGCAGGTCCTCTCCGGCAGTATAGTATAAAAAATCAACGTGATAAAATCGCGTTTATCTTGTGACGGGTTCTAGAAATGACTTTTTAAACGGGATATTCGATACTCTTAACTTATTTGCTTTCTGATCTGAGTACAATACAACTATTTGGTGTGTGCCTGTTTGTCAGGGATATGCTGGTCTGTTCGTCGGGTTTGTCGACTGACCTGTAGACGTTTTTACCACGTATCATCATTTATCAGTGAGATAAAAAATATATTCCAGAATAACTAATCCAATTTTAAGCAACACACCGCAACGCAACACAAGTCGCAACCCGACCAATTTAAATTCCGAGAAAGCAATCAGTCTAGTCTGACAGTCGCATTAATATATATCAGCTACTCTTTGGAAAATACATCAGGTGCCAACAAAATGGACAAGCTCAGCTAACAACCCATCCAACAACTGAACGTCAACTTCCAACATTCCCTTCTGTACCGAGTTATCCCCTCTTCTCTAACATACAATTCATCAGTCAATAAAACCAATAAATGGTGCGTAAACATTCTAGGTGATCAACTATAACATGATTAAGAATGTCCGGAAAGGGAGAACTGGATATATCAATCTTTACAATGTGGGGGTAGGCGTAACACTCATCGAAAATGATCGGTAAGATTCCGGACATGAGTTAAAATTTGTCGAGCTTATTTAATCAGGTCTAAAGTAACCACACTTCCCTCGAGTCATGCGGATTGTGCCATATTTTCCCATTGATCATGGGGTTCATTGCTCTCCTTCACTGTTACGGTCTCAACTCAGGTAATAAAGTCTTGGAGTCTTTGGGTTGGGAATTATCCTTCTCGAAGTAGGCATAGGTCTAGATATTATATGGCTGTGGTTTCCGCTGAGTTATTGTCCGTATTCTGGGAAGGGATTCTTCCTTGTGGAATTACTTATGGCAATCTCTCAACATCTGTTTCAGGCCAAATGTCCTACGAGATTCCCGCTTTCGAGACGAATTTTAATGCTGTCTGCGGTGAGACCTCGGAGGAGGAGGAAGAAGGTGCTGACGAAAGTCAGCTTGACTTCGAGTCGAAAACAGACCCAGAAACTCCGTATGAAGAAGTGGAGCAGGCAGGTAATGTATTGTTTGTTGTAATTCGTACTGCATTTTCACAACGCTAGCTGTCCGATGTTCTTTTATTTTTCATGGCTCTCTCGGGAAATCGAAACGGCGGTGGTTCACTTTTCCATGAACGAACGTTCTGATGTTTGCCTATCCCAGTTTATCTTACCATGAATAATTATTTTGTTACGAGTGCGTTGCACTCGTCAACAGTAACAGACGAGGTAACTTAGTGGTACCTCCGAACATTTCGTGTTCTTTCGATTGTTGTAATTGATCGAGAACCGAGATTCCTTCGAGTCAGTTTGAAAGTTCACTGAAAACTTGGTCAGATTGTGAACCCGACGCCATACTAAGTAGCGCAAGTGCTCACTACAATAGGACAATGGAATCCTCCTTTGGAGATCACGTAAAGATGCCGTCCACGTCATAGGCCGTCCACGGATGACGATTTCGAGTCGTTATCAGCGGTTTGGGAACTTCACCAAAAGTTTTTGGAATGATAAAATAAAAAGCCACCTGTAGAATTTTATCTGACTCATATATGTCATTAGATTAGATGGACCCATCTGGTTGACAAGTAGATTATTGTAAGCAATGGATTTGAAAAGTCCTTTCATATTTGTGGCCTACATCTATATTCTGCGCCAGCGTTTTGTCGCAGAGAAATTTGAACTTGTATCTTTATCGTTTCCTTCTATTCTCCTAGCTTCCTAACTAGCATTTGGTTCGGAGTGCGACCTTCAGGTGTCAAACCTAATCGTCCCATGGGTTTTCCAACCGGACATAGATGATGCACTTCTTGCTTTCATCTAGTAACAAGATACAAGAGCAGAATAGGTTCTTGTAAGCCAGTTTATCAATCTTCAGTGTTGATTCAAGGTTGGTCTTTGCGATATGGTTCTATGAAGTCGACGCGCGGGTGAAGCCTTTAGTAAAGCTGAGATAGCTCGGTGGTTAAGGTACGAATTCACTGATCCGAAGTCCCGTTTTTCGAACTCAACCTCAGCATACGTATTGCTCCTGCTTTGGCAGCCTGCCCTCAACCCTTGTACTTCCTTCGAGTGACATGGCAGCTAGGCACCGAAAGTATGTCACAGCTGTATGTCTGTCTTTCGTTGTTGAAACATTTGATGCAGATGCATCGTTTATGTAGCGTGAGTCATGCTTAATTAGGACAGCTTAATGCAAGTCTGCATATTATGTGGGAATCCGTCGCCGGTTTTCTCACTCATTTGTGAACATCATGGTGGTTATGTCAGGGAGTAGCTGACTACTTACAATCAGAAAATTGAATAAGTGTCCAGACACGTGATCAGCACATGTTCGGACAATTTCATTGTTCAACGTCCCGAGACCTCCGGATAACGCATACATGACAGCCGAGCTGTTTGCACTTCGATTATGTCAAAGCCACGTGAGAGTGTAGACTTTGTATTGTTGTCCTTAAGTAGTTTTGAGTTAACTTGAATGCCGTTTGAACCCTCATTATTATCAATATTAACAACCAATTTATCTCAGCCCTTGTTCTCCTACATCAACTCATATATATTTCAAATAGATCTTAGTAGTTCATCTTATATTTTTATCGGGGATGTTAACCCACTTCTTTTTTAGCGGAATACACTCATTTGCATACCAGCCTGGTTTTGATGGAACTTAGCTGAATCTCTAATTTCTGAACCCCAAGAAGTGCGAAACTGGTCGTTGGCTGTCGAGTCTTCAACAACCTTGTGGGTAGTTTATTACGTCCACTTCTTTTTTATTTGTTTTTCCTTGTAAGATGTGATTGTCGACGAACCATACATGAGCCGCAAAAAGCAGAAGCAACAAAAACTGGCCGTTCGCAAAGAGGTTACAGAGTGCAAACCGTCTGAAAATTCGTCAGATGGCTGGACACAAGTGGAACAGAAACAACTAGAAGTTGCCATCCGTTCGATCTCGAAAACGACTGCGGAGCGATGGGATCGAATCGCCGACTGCGTTCCCACAAAAACTAAGGTCAGTACAGTTATGGCTCATCGCCCGTATATTTTGAATGTTCGTTAATTTTCAGGATCGTTTCCTGCAGAGAGCCCCTCCGTACGCGGATTATTTTAAATCTCATGATGATGGTGCCAGTGTTTGCATAGTACTGTCAGTCACGATTGGCGTTCTTAGAGTTTTCGTTATCTGATAACTCAGTTCAGCCAGCAGCATTTGTGGAGCTCCAGTGCAGTGGTTTGCATCGTTGCTCAGTCTTGGCGTTGCAGTGAAACTTGTAATTCTGTGTTCAGTAAGAACGCCCATGCTTTGACTTTGACATTGGACACCTACCCGGCTTCCGTCATCTGGTAAATGTTTTTGACAGTGTGTTGACATGTAGGTGACCAGCATGTCACTTCACTGTTTGTTCACTGGTGTACAACCGGCTGCGGATTGAAGTGATGTTTGTAGCGAGGTTGCCACATTGGCCGTGTCTCGCTACTGCCGTCGAGCACACTTACGAAATCGGATTCCCAAACGTGTGTCCGTCACCCAGATTTGACGCTGTTGGTCCCCTTTTCCTCTGGGTTGTTGAAAAAGGGAAGCTTGTAGCCAACGTGCTTCAAAGGGTTGTTATGGATAAAAGCAGCAGTAGTGTGCCATGCTTCCGGCAAGTATTAAATGATGCGTTTTTTGCATACCCAGTGAATCAAATGGAATTATGTCTGCTTGACGACTTATTGAGCTGAACCACTTGTCAACGCAACTGGCTGAAACCTAGTTTCAGTGTGTTGTACATTGATGAAAATTGCACTTTGTATTCTGATAGTGAACTGTAATCAGTTATCAGACTGGGTCATAGTTGTCTGCTTTTCCGCGACCTCTTTACCGCCGCACTCACAAAACCAATTTTATTCGACCTGTCCGTTCTCTTTTACGTGTAGTATTCACTCTCAAGTACTAAGTCAGAAGTTTTCTTTTTCGGACTGCAGTTGATTCCACTAATTGATTTCTTAGTAATTATCTATTTTGATGGGCTTATTTGGACCCATCTCATTTAGCGAATGATCTTAAGTTGGCACAGAATTTATGGTTTGATGTCTGGTCTATAACTCGCCTTCGGAATACCAAACTTCGTATGTCACAACCGACGTGGCAAACATATCTCGATTTTCCACTCAGCTAGACAGCGCATGACGATGTAGTCCTTTAGGAATGTTGTGACTTGTTGACGATCGTGCAACTCTCTATCGGTCCCTTGGCTTCCTGCTGCGCCCACTATGGTAAATCAAAAGGCACGGTAGCTCTACATAGCACTTTATGGAGACCAAGGGAAATTAGTGCAAATGTATTTATAGGGTAATCACAGAGTGTTCCACAAGGTCGTGCTAGAATCTCCGTGAAGGGGCGAGAAGCGTCGAGTCGGAAGTGCTCGATCCGGATTGGCTGGGATTCTGACCAATCAGGACACGTCTCCGTTTGATCCATGTCCTGCACGTGACACATCCGTCCAAATGATGCGGTTCGGTTATTAGGGACGAATGACTTCGGGACAAGGACAGATCGAGATCGCAGTTAAATCAAATCAGTGCTGGGTTTCCAGAAATGTCATGGCTCTGTCGATAAGTAACACGGAACCATACTGCGTCTTCCTGTAGTCGCATGGTAATTCGCCTTCTTCTACATCTCGAACTGCAACCTTCCGTATTTGGTGATCTGTGGTAAAGTAGAAGCAGATTGTCGTCCAGAAGCGTTGTATTGAATCTATACACCAAATCTTAGTTCGTTTTCAAGTGTTTATCGCAACTCTGTGCTAAAATTTAGGGCAACTTTGATTAAAACCTAAATCGCATGCTAAACGTACCAATTAAATTAATTCGTCAGTGGTGTAATTTTCGTCGGATGAAAACGCTGTACTTCTTCACGTTTGTTGGCTTCGTTATTTTCACGTGTCTGTCTGGTTTTTCTCAACGTTGTTGGGTCATATCTGCAAACAACACAGATAAGCCAGTTGCTGTACACCTAGTCCGTTGCCTTACAGTCGAATAAACATACTGAAGTTGTCGACTTTGATCACAACTCGAAGTTAAATGGACTGGATTCATTTGTGCATATGGCACAAAGTTGTTTCCGCTAAGTATTTAGGGCCCAACTATACAATCTCATTCACTGGCTACTATGGTTGGCCAATATAGTCGTTCTAGTAACTTCACATCTCGGGTCTTATATTGCTTATTGTTTTTACAGCATATTATTTACGAAGGTGCGATGACTCGGTGGTTAGAGCGCGAATTTACTGACTGGTTCGAACACCATCTCTGCCTCTTGACTTCCTCTGTCTAGGATTGGGCAATCTGGCAATATCCCAGCCCTCGTGCTTCCTGTCATGGCAGCTGTTCACCGAAAGAGTATTACAGCTGAACAATTATCTTTTTCTTATATTCTTTACTGCATGTAAAAAATACAACTGTTATAATTTTTTTTCTTGCTTCCATGCAGGCTGAAGTGATGCAACGGGTGAAGTACTTGTCTACCTTAGCAAAATCAAAAGCGACCCAGCGGTGAACAAAATCAACTGCTTCATTCCGTAGACGTGATCCTGGTTATTCGCTTTGCTGTCGTTTTCTGTGATAATTTACGCCTGTTGTATGTATTCCGCGGTAAGATGGGTTGACATACTGTGCGGTCCTTCTCTCTTGTACAATCTCTCCCAACTTGTTTGCTTGGAATTCTGTGTTTCAACGTGACAACCTCATGACCTCATTCTTACGTACAATCCAACATATTATAACTTGGAGTTAGATGTTTAGTGCACCATGAACGGGATGAACATACCCACATCTCTGGTCTTCAATTTTGCTGCCACTGCTCCCAACTTTAGATAATCGGTGTTCGTAACGAAGGTTCTCGGCATAAACGTCATTATAAGAACACATTCGCTTCCACAAGTCTCTTTAATGCTCGCAATATTTCTGATTTAGTGTTTTTTTGATGTATGCGGTGCTTGAATGCGTGGTTCGCCGATGTACGGATTGTACTCATTTGACTCTTCTGCGATTATCTCGTGCTGAATTAGTGACACTATGAGTTGGGCCAACTGCAGCTACCCTTGTGAGGTGACAGGGAGCTGGTGTATACAATCCATTCTTCCATAACGAACTCAACGTTCGGTGATATTGGAGAAAATGTCCCTGGCGGGTGTATTGTGCACGAGCATGCTCTTTTATCCGGGCAATGCCATTAGGTAGGGCGGGCTCCAGTGACGGACTCCTGTACACGTATTTCCGAAGCCCTACTCACCTCTCACCCAAGGTTATGTTCATGGTGCCTCTAAATAGTGTTAATTCCTGATGGGGACCATTCCCATTTTGACTCTCAGTCAGGTTTATCCATTGCCGCAGCCTGACGTTTGTGTCCCAAAGATAAATTTGTCCATTCCTCCAAGTAGGCTCTCCATTGAAGTATTACTTTATTTCATCCCTGTTGTTCTTATGAGATACGGAATATCTGTTCGGAAAGAAGGTATGAGTTTGAATCAGTCCCGAAGGGCCAACCAACGGCAGAGTTTTCTAAATGGTTTTGGTGTACACGAGTTGCGTTGTTTCCAAAATAAAATAGTTAGATTCCAACGGACCTCCATATTGCAATCGGCAACTATCATACATAATGAACTGGAATTTTCATGTTTTAGGTATTTACCGTAACCTAAATTAGAAGCTACCACTAATCGATATGGAACATTCAACAAACGATGTTTCATCTTCCTGCAACTTTTCTCGTCAACATGGTGAACATTCCAGGCACTTGTCGTACGCCAAAAGGCTTTAAGATGGTTTTTCGAAGGCGGTTGAACTATTTGTTTACCGAACTGACCATTCGGTGCGTCCAATGAGAATGACTACATTACATTGAAGCTAATCAAATGCGTGAAATGACCTAAATGGCGCACTTGTTTCTTATTGAAGCTCAATCCAGCAGTCAGTGGCCACTGTTGAGTATGCAACTAAGAGTAATACTACGAAAGCCCAGGAGTGCAATGTGTTCTGTACGTACTTCAAGAGTGTGAACGGATTCATCGCTATTGGGCGTGATTCAGACGAGTCAGTACTTAGACGGATGATGTCTAGCACATGCATAAATCTATCGGAACGGGCTTTTCAGAGTGCTATAAGTGCATAATCTACGTTAAATACACCCTCCCCTTGAATCAAATCACCTATGAAGCTGAGCGGTTTTTCTGACAGTCCGAGAAATATTACAACGCCTTCGTTTTTAACTTGACACCTCACTTCATAAGGGGATGTATAGTGCTCTCTGCTCCGTGCTATGGATTGAGGAAATCTTTCCAACCACAAGTTTATCGTCTTTGATTCCCCGAGTTACTTGCACTTTCATGAAGTGAGAGTTTTCTCCTTCCACAACTAAAACATCCGATTTGTTTGAAAGCTTCATAAAGAATATAAGTTCGAAAATGAGGTCGGTGTGACGAGGATTATTCATTCGAATGATCGCGGAATCCTATTTGTCCACATCCACATGGAATAATAGCCGTCCTTTTATCGAATAACCAGTGTTTTTTAACAGGATACAGGGACAACCTACTTAATCCGTCTTCGTCCCTCCACACCCTAGTAAGTTTGAGCGTACGTCGCTATGTATGCTACTGGTAAACGACTCGACTAAATCAGTCGGAGGCCTAACAGATCCTCACAATACGGGCACTTGAGACAGCGTTCTAGAACATCAGAGCTAAATCTATGGGACTAACTGCGATGTCATTCATCGAGTTTCTTGTAGTGCCTTGCTCAGTGATACGACGCGTAGGACTCCCGTGTTGCAACACCCATTTCCTTCGCTGGTCACCACCTCTTTTATACGACCGTGTCTCTTTATTTTAGGAATGGAATTCCCTACTAAAACTCATTACTGGCGTAGTTCGGAATACCCGCCCCAAAATGTGTTCGCATTATGAGAGGTAAAGTTCTACCCATTTGCGCTGCTCCCAAGAATACAGCAGCCTCATCACTTAGGCTGCAAAAATCTTTGGTAACCAAGCGCTTCTGTTCTCGAGACCACTGTTCTAATCGTTCACTTTTGGGGAAAATAACGTGCCTAAAGCCAGTTTCGACGCCAGGGAGACTAGCAATGGCGTGCGATTGGTGTGGGGACACATTTTAAGAGCAAGGCCTCCCATGGTCCAAATCTTGGTGACAGGAGTCATAAGGCTCAGAAGTATATCGGTGTGCTGAATTACCGCACTTCACCTGCATGTTTCGTGGATTAAGCTTTCAAATAAATCGCGCTGAACATATCGTTTGGCTCAAGCAGCCTCAGGACGCTGCCCCAATCAACGCTACATAACATTGGATTGTAAAGTGCGGCGATTTGCATTCTTGCGGGGCGTTGCAAGTACAGCCCTCTCGGATGAAAATAATGAAGTGCGTCTCTAGCTGTGTGAAGTGCAAATGCAGAAACATTGGCGGATCTCAGTATGTATGTATGTTTAGTAAGTCTGAGGGTCCAATGACAGGGCCCAATTACCGGGGTTTCAAGGTACTAGGTGATTCTGACGAGCCAGTCAACACGTAGACATGAATTTCGTGAAAAGCGTTATATTCTGCCTAAGTGCAATCTAATCATACAGCTGATCAGCCTCTCGTAATCGAACGGTTTGCTCTTCAATACCAGTCGCGAATTTGAATCTGCCTAGTAGAGATTCGCATTGTTGATGCTTCCTAATAAGAATGAAACAGTTGTGCAATGCTTTTCGGCATAGATTAGGTACAGCTACAGGATGAAAACACGCCTGAAAATCTCCAAATGTGTTAGTATTAACCATTTCGCAGGAGGGAGAGACCAGGGACAGCTTATGCTAGAAATCGCGACAGTTCGAGCGAAGGTGTACCCTGAAGACGTTTTCTGGTTTGATGTTTGGATGTCCGAAATGCAGATGCCAAATTCAGTCGATGAGGCGCATAGTGAAACTGGTAAAAGTCTTTCAATATCTTACTCGTTCCACACGGCGACGGTATCCAGTCTTTATTCTATTAATTATAATGCGATTTCGTTGCAATCGTTTGGTGTCTATTCAAGCTGTACGACAGAATGCTGGAGAAGTATGGTTCAAATTATGTGCTTCAAAAAGAGCGTTTCCATTATGAGCGAGGTTTTTGCCACTCCACAGGGTTGGAGACACTGTCCTCGGTTCGCATGTCACTCTTTTTAATAGGCAGAAAACATTAGAACAAATTAGCACGTACTCTGAAATAGATTAAACGTCGAGGAGCAGCATTCTGCATACATATGCTCGTTGTGTATCTCCAGTGCATTCTCAAGCAGCAAAGGCTAGATTGCACGAACACGTATCGCCCATTTGGCTCCGAAGACTCCGTGGACGTCTCTTCTGGCCTGGCGAAGATTACTCTAAATGGACGTGGTGGAACGAAGTTGCTTGATTTGGTATCCACGAATCACACTTAAGATTCGTCATGCGCACCGGCTGGCTTTGCTCGTACTTAGTTGCTGAATGACTAGACTTAGTCACACAAACCCCTTCACATGGTGTGATGGTTATTGTCGGAAACAATAATTTGCGTTGGTCGCCCATGCTTCTTAAAATAAAATACCCAAGGAGCGATATCCGTGAAAGGTTCCCGAGCTCATGCACTCATAGTGGTTGATAAGTCTGTATCTCTAACACTGCCCTCTGAAATTCGCCGGCTGCGGCCAAAAATCTCAACTAACGAGGCTATTATGCGATCATTCTTCGATAGCGTGGTTCAGTACACGACTTCCTTTCATAACAGAATACCTTTGAGTGAACTCACAACACGGAACGGTGTAGACAGCGGACACACCAACTAATTCGAACTGTCACGCGCTTCCAAAGTTACCGATAAACGACATAGAGGTATCACTCTTACACTGTGTGGAGGATACCATTTGCAAATGGATAAACGAAGACGCGTGTCTTGGATCTCTTTTGCTCACTCTGATCGGTGGGTCCTCGGTGTTCGAAACCCACCGAATCAATCTATGAGCTCCGTCTGACGCCCATCATGATCACTCCGTCAGACCGATTACCGAAGGAACACTAACTCTGAAATGGACTTTCTGCTAATTCATATTATATTCATAATAGTTCAGTTCAGTTTCTCAACTATAATTCGTGTACCAAGGGTACGTTGGTTACAGCTACTGCAGTTTCGACCACCATAAAATGGGAGTTTTGGAAATATAGCCAAGCATCGGAGGCGGTGGCATGTTCACTTTATTCAAGAACTGGGTAGCCACACAGTAAAGCCAACAACTTTGATGCACAAGAGCCACTGACTGCTTGGGTGGGTCACCTCTGCCAGTGTCATTAACCATTCGTGAGTAGAGTCCCGGGGGCGCCATCCAAGGAGGCTGCAATCGTCGTGCCCACTCAATTTACCGGTTGTTGTCAGGTCGTTGTCAGGTTATAGACTGTCCATCTCTCGGTTGCTTCCTCTCAGCACAAGTCTGGTCAAAAAATGTTCTACAAGACAGGTAGTTTTTTGACATGCGTAATGCATAAGGTAAACACCGTGGAAGAGTTACTCTTCCCCAGCGTACCCTAACGTTGTTAATCTGATGTTTCCACCAGACGACCCATGCTCCGGAGACACCGGTGGTCAAACACTGACAGCTTTCAGATATATCCTGCGCGTACAGATTACGTGTCTGACCCGCAAAGCAGTATGGATCGCACTACCGCAGTGTATAGTCTGGCTTTGACAGAAAAACTGGTGTCGCATTGGCGTCATAGATGTGGGAGTTTGGCATGGGGTTTGGGTGTGCTCCCATCCACTCTTGTAGCAGCAGTTTCCACTTTACGGGTGAGGCACATATCAAAACGTGTGGAAAAATTACTTAGGTTATTTACAGTGATTTGCGTTTTTAGAGGATCTGAACCAAAGAGCGCAAAATTGCCCCACACTCAACGTCTGTGAGCGAACATCCCGAGAGTAGGCAGCCTTGTCTCGCATCATTGGACATAGTGAACTCAGACGGAAGCCCATCGTATACTCATACACGTCCACAGGAGTCCGATTATAGTACCATCATAAAGGGTATAAATTTGGAAAGCACACCTTTGGCAGTCAAAGATTGCCAAACGTTATGACGATCGACAGTCAAAAGCAGTCTTCAGACCAATAAAAACTACTAATGTGGGGTTTGTAGGCGAGTGCAGCAGTATGAGAATTTGTCTTAAGGTAAGAACAAGGTCGATCCTTCCTCGGCCAGGGCGAAACCCAGCTTGATTCTTATGAATCTGCTCTCCTGATAATCAATTAACCTACGCAAACTAATGCCAAAGAGCACCTTATGTATGACGGATACCAGGCTGATACCACGACGGTTTTTGCATGGCATTCTTGCGTCCTTTTCGAGGACTGGGATCGAGGAGCTCCATCGTACCGGTATTCTATTTTTGTCCCAAATTTTCTGCAGTATGATCGTCAGCCTGTACACCAGGACCTTACCATCTTTGAACAATGGGGGGTGCAGATCATCCGGACCAAGTACCCTGTCGCGTTGGAGAAATGGTATCTGGATTTTCGTTGCCGACGGCGGGCTGGTGACGACGTTCCATTCCGTCTCGTAGGGTTCATCCAGGGAATGCGTTAAACGAGACCGGCTGAACTGTCCTTCAATGTATTCAGCCCATCGCTCAAGACAATTTTGCTGGTGAAAAGCCACTCCACCTTTATCGCCGAGTGTTTCGCTAACACCTGATTCCTCGTCAGTTGACCGAATCATGTGAAATAAGGCGCTACTCTTGTCTGCAGCGAAAGCCTCCATCTCTTGAGGCTTCGCAAGCCACCACCGTTCTGACATTTTTCAGGCTCTTGACTATCCATTGTTAGTGGGATTCGCGTCCACTATCATAGTCGCTAACCGGTGGAAAGTTTTTCTGCCAACAGCAAGATCTGCTGACCCCGACCATGTTCGGTATTCATTCAGTTGAGTCGGGTGGCTTGGACAGAGTTATAAGTGCTGAGAGCATAGTTTCTTCGACTCGCCTCCTTTCAACCTCCAAGTACGACTGTACATCTACAACGCTTTCCATCCAGACCAGCCGGAAACTGTTGCGCTACTGAAACGTGTTGTTGAACGGAGGTGCTCTGATTCAGCACAAATAAAGTTGACGGCAGACAGAGCGACAACTAAGCCTGCATAATGGCGTGATCGGAGTCAGGTTGCGTGCCCCAGACGGAAGGGCAGTTTTTAACTGAACTCACAATCGGTAACTAATATCCATATAGTCCATCTGAGTCCATGACTGTCTTGCGTTTGATGGCCTACAGGAAACTCAACGTGTTTGTGCTGGCGAGGAACAGATGATGATCAGCATACAACTGAAGCAGTCGCTTTACATTACCGGTACGCTGAGTATCCACTCCAAATCCGTGCTTCTGCTAGGTTTAATCATCCAGTCTGGATGTACATACCACCCGTGAGGACGACTATATTTTTTCTTATTGTTGACCGAAGCTGTGTCGGTACACCTCGGTAACCTGTCCTTCTCAAACTCAGAACTGAAGTTTTTGGAGCGTATTTTGATAAGACAAATAAACACCGCTTACTGCATTGACTTGCACTCATCTTAATTGAAGTAGACACCAGCACAACGCTAAGACGACTGCTTACTAGGATCCAGTCCAGCAACGCGCTTTCAGCCCAGGGGCTGAGTATAACCCACATCGTAGATACCACTAGCCGTTGCATTAACACTGCTATTTACTTATTATTATTGTTTATTATCTTTAGAGTGAAATGTGGGATATCTGAGATCATCTTAACCGGCTTCAGGTGAGCGGTCAGTGTTTTTTTGTTTCTCGGGTAGTAGCAGAGACCTTCACGACAGTCCTAACCAGCCGCATTTAGATGCTTTTCTAGGATACCTGGAAGAATGGTCTGTATCATGAGATGTTATCGCGCATAAAACCACGCTTAAGTGCACTGTATTCTTTGGGTAACTGAACATCCATCTCCGATGACCGACTTCATATTCGGACTAGAATTCCACCTTCCGTCTGTTTACCAGTGAAATATCCTACTAAGTTACGATCAACGCTCGTTTGCAAATTAATTTGCTTGACGAGACTCAGCTGAGATTCACCTGATTTCCTCGTTCATCATATTCTCCAACTTTATCTGTTGCCTCATGTTCCAGTAAATAAGATATTCAAGATATCTAGGTGTTTCTATACTACTCATAAGGTCTAAAGCGTTCGGCGACCTTATGAGTACTGTTAAAATATATTTTGAACTCAACTCCGATTTATCCGTCGGGCATTTATAACCAGCCTTAAGAGCGACTAACAGACCAAAAGGTTGACACATTCGCTTCGATTCGAAGTACAGTGACACTTTCAGGCCAGTATCAGCATTTTCTCTCGGATCGAATGTGATGCTAAAGAAACACCATGCTGCAACTCTGCTATTTTCCTAACACATTTTGGAATTTTAGTTGGAGCGGCCATTACGTTTGCGTTTGCTCTATTCGACGTTGGCGACAAAAGAGAACTGGACCATAAAATGTTGAGATCTCCCATATGGTGTGTGGTTAGCCTTGGTGATGAAGTCTGTCGAATCAAGGTCGTTGTGTTGAGACGGTTTCGACAGTGTGCGTTATCTCGGAAGACTGGATTACCGAACCTCTGAGCATGATGTGAACACCACGAGCAGGTAGGACAATAAACCAATGCAACGAGAATGTAACAGAGGGAAGATTACAAACAGGCTGGAAATAAGCGAATATACACTCATCTGCAAACTAATTTGGTTCTTTCGAGAGACTCACCTGGAACCCAGCTGAATCTCTCGTTTATGGTGTTCTCAGGCATTACAAATAGGCTGGAAATACTTTGCATTCAAAGCGCGAATCACTCTACATCGAGTTCACCGTTGCCTTTAGCAGCTTTAGATAACCCAATCTAATCACTTGCCTCAAATTCTTGATGTTTTCGCGTCTACTTTCGGGACTTCTAACCTTTGCGGTTAGCTACCGAAATACGATACTCACAGATGGGTCGATTTTTTCCGAGTTCAAGCAAAACATGCCACAATGGGCCTATCGCAGTTAAACACCCACACTTATGAACCTGTGAGAGTTGGCGTGCACAATCGTGCTTTAATAGACACAAAGGAGGCGCTGGAAACCGGAGAATCCACGGTTGTGTTCCAGTTCTTCATGGGCCACAAAAGTGCCGGACGAAACAAACCGACCGGTTCGTCGTTCTATTTTATACTGGGGCAGACTCGACGTTATGGTACATTACCGCTTTTGAGTGTTCTTGTGGCGTACGAAGAGCTCAGCAACGAACACGTCCATTCTGAGGACTCTAGCGCAGTCCGACCTTCATCAGATTGTGGCTCGTTGAACCAGAATTTTCAGTTCCCAATGTTGCCTGCTCATTTTGAACTATGGAAATATGACTGGCTTGAAGGGTTCAGATATGCGCACTTTGCTGAAATACCTTCATTAAGAAACGTTTACGTGACATTCAACCTAAATTCACATAGAAGAGCTATGGTCACTTCGTGGAAATTAAACCAACCGTGCGACTCGGCTTCTTAGAGATGCAATTTATTACTTGGCAGTCAGCTCATAATAGTACCGCGTGAGAAAGTCCACAGAAATGTAAGACTCTAGTTACGTTAGATTCTTAAGACGGACAACGCTGGCTTACTAGTGCATAGCGCTGAAGCAAGTGGAACGGAATTTCCGAAACGCTCAACTGTCGAAGAGTTTTCAGCAACCTTGTGAGTAGTTTCCTTTATGAAAAAAGCTCAACTGATTACTTCAGTCGTGGGCTACATAACGAGTCTGAAGAAATGTGATGTTATATGGCAGCAAAATACAGTTATGCTGAGAAACTCCGTTTTTTTAAGTGGCTCAAGGTAAGGCTTACATCTTTAGTTGTACTGGGCACTCCTCTAGTGGACACACCAAAATTAACAGAAAGCTACAATAACGAGAAAAGCACTCGAGTTGAAGTTCGCAATTTGCCTGAGGGGTAAGAAAGGCTGTGAAGCGAATAACGGCGATAGCACGTACGAATCCTCCGAACCACATACTGTTGAGTAATTAGATGGGACGAGCTAAACAAGCGCGAGCGGCGTTCGACCACGTATCGTTACAGTTGGTTATGGACGTTTATTGGGCGAGTGTAGAAAAAGTGAGAGCAAAAGTTAGTGGCTAAGTAGGAAACCGAGTCCGCAGTAGAGAAGCCACGCGTTCGACCGGAACCTGCTCGCTAAGTACGGATGGAAACCGATTCAACGGGTGACAACACGGCCCCTTATTCCACAAATACAATGGTTTCAAGGAAGAAAAACAAGACTGTAGAAATTTGAATACGCTAATGTATTGATTATGCGGGCTGTATACAGGGTGGTCTGGTATCCAAGAGGAGAGTGACGGGAACTTACCACCATTCCGAACGATGGTGTTTGGACGACATTCGCAAGAACCTAGAACAATTAGTCGAAATGGGTTATGTTATCAAATTTAGTTGTGGGTGAATGATAACATACAAATCTCGAAGACAAGACATGAAACAATGTCATCAATCGCCCAATGGGCACTGAAACCGTTATTTGTCAATTGTTATCGAAGTGACTTGTAATCAGATAGAGAGAACTGAGGGACGCAGCCAGTGTAAGCAGAACCGGTTCGTTGTTGGAAGGATTCTAGGTCAAAACAGCTTGTTACTTGACACGTTCACCAGGACACAAACAATAGCTTAGAACGTTATTAGCGCTGTACAACTAGTTAAGATTCTGTAAGTACACTTCCCGAAGTTGTTCTACAACCACTTTTTCTTCCCGGCTAAATGAGTTTTTTTCAAAGCAATAGTCAAACGACGCTCGCTAGGCAGACAATAACCGTACATTACTACGTTTTCCCAACATCAGTGGCAAAGTGAAGCGAAACAACTGTCACGGAGGTGTCATCAAACAACAGTTACCATTAATTTAGATGGGTAGCTAAAAAATCTCGAAAATGAACCTGAATGCACAGACACCTGGCCCGCAGTTAAATTCATCATCCCCCGCTTACCGACCGAGTGTTTTACGAGTGGACATTACTTCATTCAACACACCCTTGGATTCCACAGTGGTCCTGTAGGCTCTTGTTCAACGGACCGATTGCAGTTCCGTTTTGGAAGTCTTCCACAACGGGACGGATACCTGAAGTGGGCGAGCCAATGTAGTGCTCAATTGTATGCGTTACACAAGGCAGCAAAGCAGCTAATGAAGCGTTTTTCCGGTAAGTGGGAGGTTCATGGTTCGATTCTCGCCTCGGCGTCGACATTTCGCTTTTAGTGAAGTCTGGAGGCAGCAAATGAGGCACGTGGTTCGCAGTGAAACCAGCTTATCACCCTCCGATCTTTGCTAAAAACGCCGCAACACAAGGCTGAGTTTCAGTTATATTACTTCTTCCAAAAAAAGATCTATAAAGGCCTATTGTGCTTGAGCACCAGTATTGAGCATTGGTGCTCATATCAACGGGGATGGAAAGTAGACTTTATTTGGTAAAGCCCCGATCGATTCAACGCAAAAATGTGGTATGTCTCAACTGCAGGTGGTTCATCATTGTGTAGAGCTGACAACTGGCGTGACGCCTTAAGTGGCATACCCAAGATAAAACGGTATCAATGCCTTGGACCTAATCAATTTTACAGTTTGCCAAGAAAGAAGAGAATGAGTGAACTGGCTTGCGTATTTGGTTACCGATTCCTGGTGGTAAGTTGGGTCGAGTAATTCGCATTATCCTAATTATAATCCATTATTCCATGGGTTGATGCATGGAGCACGAGTCCGAGCTGTCCGCCAAACCTGTATGGAGTGAAATTTCTGTCAATACACATCGCACTGTACATATCTAAGATACTCTAAACGGTTACTCGTACAAGTATCGGAGGTGTAAAATGCGGCCCTCGCCTTCGGATGGCTGAAAAAACAAAAACGATCGCAGGGACGAGCGAATAGTGAAACAATGATATTTAACACAAATCAACACAGGAACCACTATTTACCCTTACAGCTTACTAGGTACACTGAATCCATTTTCAAATAGTTGATCGAACGTAAGGCAATCATGCAACCACCATAAATCTAACTTTTTGTTACTCAAAACTTAGTAAGCTGAAAAGCTTACTTATGGTCCCACTCCCATTGTGCGCGATGAGTGATAGTAAGTGTAAGACTGCGTGAAAAGAAGTTGAGAAGCCACAAATTTAACGAATGAACAATGGGAATGAATACTACCAGTCAATGCTCCGATTATTTACCCCGTAGTGACCTCCGAAATTTCATAATGTGCTGTTATTCCCTATGTTCCTGGGTGCAGTGGTAATTCCACCTGCCAGCAGAAAAATCAAACCATGATGTAACTATTCACTCGGTTTACCACTAGCCGAGTCGCGTGACATGCAGGGGACCCATCAGAATCGTTACTGGGCCTTAAAAGACTGCTCTTGATTCCTAATGGAGGCAAAAAGCGTAAGATAGGGCAGTGCACAAAGACGGGATCCGGTAATAGTTCGCGAACTGCACCATAAACAGCTCCGAGCGACAGTTAGAGGATAAAAATAACAGTAATGACTGTGAACGTGTGTGAAGCGGCCACTTGGACCGATGCCAACAATAAACTCGAAGATCTGCCGGGAAATTATCCTCACAATGAATCAAGAATCACGTCCGGCCAACAAATCGTATAAAGAATCCAGACCGATTTCCGGAGGCTAACAACTTTTTAGACCCAGATGCTTCTGCCCTAAAGATAATGCGTTGTGCGCTCACTAGAAACGTCATCATCTAATCAAAGCTACAAGGCAAGACTGTTAACGACAGGCAATCGGAAACAGTAAAAAGAACTAGTATTATGAATTTGTCAGTTCCTATTCTTGATTTGTTAATCTAGGACAAGACCACACTTCTTAACGTGGATTGTGTGAAACACTGAAGATGATGTATACAGTGGTTCCCTTCTAGAACCTAGGGAGGAATTCGTTCTAAAGAAAGTTTAAAACGCTTTTTATGCCACCAAAATTTCCAGTGGTTTACACAACTCTTCAGCTTCTTCCGTATTTCTGAACTGAATTGAATTGTCATGCCTCTCACCTGACTTGCCAAAACAAAATGGGCTCGAAGGACCAACTCGCAAAATTGCTTTTTATTTACGGTCAGTTTCATCCACTTCGGTTTCACTGATTGGACCGTCTTCAGACCTTTCAGTGCTGCCTTAGGAACGTGCTCATTAACTGCAAGCTAAGCTAACAGCTTCATCTATCAACGTATTTATGGTCAGATGGTTGGTTGTTAGACATTTCCTTGAAATTTGTGACACTCAAGGGGATCCCACCGACTATTCATACCTTACGTAAACACCCGAAGTATGCCAACAAGAACCATAATTTAGCAAATAGGAACTCTTATTTGCTTTCCCACTCTTTGCTTATTATTATTTGCTATAGTTTGTTTGTTTATACACAATGTGTATAAGGGAACAGAATTACACAAAGTGAAGCTTCTTCGAAGTTGCAGTGGTTCCATGTGAATGTGACTTCTGCATAGCGTGTAAACTGGATCGGAAAACAATTAGGCCGGATTATCATCAGAAAAGAAAGTTGCCTTCTTTCCATAGACAATAAGGTGACAGTGATAGAAAACCGCTGGTGTTCCCCACTGGTTTCATGCTATGTGCGGTTCACTGAATAGCCCAATTCCCCGAGTTTTCATAAATCCTTTGTCCTAGTTGAACAGCGATTCGAACTCAACCCACCCAACAGGATAAGGTCGACACCTCCTCGAACGGTGACAAAGCATTCATTGTATTTGTGGCCCGCTTGCATATTTAATTGGCTTGAACTGGAGATCAGAACGGGTCTCAGATTGATTATTTGTCTGGGGTGATCCTAGAATGAACATGCAGCTCCTCAGACAGACATCGCTGTACGTAAACCTTCGACTCAACCGCCACTTAGTATTGCGTCGTCGGCGACTACAGACTACGCCGCTTTCACTCACCAAACAGTCTATATGCATGGCCGTCCTGCACTTACGCAAGAATTGCGCACGTCGTAGCATATGGACTGGTTGGTTGCTGGGTGGTTGCATCGTGCCACCGCTGAGGAGGTGGACGCTGGAACCGCTAAAGCTTGGTCTTGTACCATTCAAACTGAGTATCGCTCGAGGAGATGTGACATTGATCTGTCTGCAAAAGGCAATGTCTAAAACGAGGCGATACACCCGGTGTTGTTTTGCGATTGCGAGGCCACTATCCGCCGAAGACCAAATAGGATTATTCGTGTTTGGTAAATGGTGCCTTTGAGGAACTATACATGAATCACTAAAACACTAACAGTATCAGTGCTGAAGTGTGATGAACAGATATTAGCAACAAGCCCACCACTTGCCCGGTCGATGGCTAGATTCGGCTGCAGCAACTACACTAACTGTGTTACGCTCTTTATGTGTCCGGTTATTGGATGTCACGCTGTGCATTATTTGCTGAAGCAGGCTCCGGCTAGAAGACACCAGGCAATAGGCGGTCTTGGTAACGCTGACGTACGTCGTATTCGAGGCTGAGGTTTCAGAAACGTACCATATCAATAGCCGTAAATGCTTAACGGCATTGCGATGTCATGCGATCAGTGACCATCCCTTAGACTTGACTATTAGTCCACTATTTTTTGTTTTCGGCATCAATTGTTCCCTCTCTCACATCTTACACCATCTAGTTTCATGTGGTGTGGTGATCCGAAACGCTGTACATGAATTCACGGTCGTTACTTTGAAGTGAACTGAACCATTCTTGGTTCTTACATCTATTCTGAGTTATTTGTAAGTATATTTGCACCAAAAGGTCTGCAGGCGCATAGAGAAAGCTGAGGTTGCTTAGTGCTCTGGAACCCGTGGAGTTGAGCGAGGGAAAAATACGGAAAAATAAACCACATGTGGCTTACCTTTATACAAGGGAACAGGTTAGGAACGCTCTGCTTCATGAGCTAAAAATGGATGTGGGGAAGGGCATTAATGTTACAGGCAGTAGCCCTCTGTGGACGGAATAGAATATTATAAGAGCGTGGAATTCCCTGGCGTATAACTCCCGACACGAACGGGGGAAGATTCAACTATTTCTACGATGTATCTGTGGCCTACAAATGGATAGCTTCTTGAACATGACACTTCCACACAACCGGTAAACGAGGCTGTACAACCACCAGAAGTTGCATGACGCACAAAGGACAATTCCAATATTTGTCTACCTGTAGGTTATTTTCCCTTTTTGCGGGGCAGTTTACATATATCAGACACCCAGCGTACCGGCGCGAAATCAGATTGTCTCTCGAGAGTACGGTCAACAGCTGTCAAATTTAACAAATACTAATAATCAGCAAAAAATTGCTCAGTCTTAAGGCCCTTTCGGTGCCTGGCTGCCATACCACCCGAAGGAAACACGAGGGCTGGGATACTGCCAGTTTATTCAAGCCTAGACAGGATGCAGAGGTTGGGTTCGAACCACATACCTTTCGGTCAGTACGTTTACACCTTAAGCACTGAGCTATCTCGAGCTCCCAACTCAGGCAGAATGTTTTATAAAGCTTTTATTTTCATCCTGATGATTTCAGAATGAAGATTCCATAGACTTCTCCATAAAAACAGTCGAAGTAATACGAGTACAGCTCATTTAAGATGTCCGTAGGCTAAGCTATTACTTTTCGCCTATTTTTGGTAGGTAAACGCAATTAATACGAACTGGATAGGATGGATCAGGATACTGGACCCCAGAGAATGATCGACTGATGCTGTTGCTGGTGTGGCTAGTGCTTGAAGCACACCCTAGAAAGGATTAGTGCTCACAACTCCACATAACAATCTTCGCAGCGCATGAAAAGAACATCTGCTACATTTTTCCGTCTCCACAAGATGATGCGACTGTCCTATGACGAGCTTGGAGTGGTGGAACTACCTGGTTTGTCAAGGCCGGGGAACTTAACAACCAGATAGATCAAACTAATGCGGCGTCTCCAACAATCCGGTTTGCAGAAGACATACGTTTTGATGTAACACCGGTAGCCAACAACAACAGCGATTGTTTCAAGCGCCAACCCCCCCCCCCGCTTTCGAACTTCAAAAATCTAAACACAGGTATTTTAATTAGACTTTGCTCATCATCATATGAGGCTGACCCACGATAAACTAGTGTTTATCCATGTTTATCAAGGCACATATTTACAAAAAATTGTAGAAGGGGAAACATACACTTGGGGGAATTTCGGCTCTACCTTCGTGAGCTTTTGTTGAATGAAGTTAAGCAATCATCTGAAATTACTATACTTTGCAACTAATGTGAACAACTAACTGGATTGTTCACTGGATTGGATGCGTACGGGTTTGATAATAAGAATTCACTTAGATCACCTGGGGAAGTGTATTCGCGACTGCAAGTCATCCACACAACGGGGTACGTCAACAAGCTTGGAGTGTGATATGTATAAGACTACCGTTATGTATGTCTGCCTGTCCAGTGATGAGTCATGGTCTATATGGGTGAAAGAACCGGAGCGTCTCTGAGTTATTGAAAGCCGACGTCAACCCCGTGTCACAATTTAAAATCGAGTTTCTCAGCTATCTGAACGCGAAAAAAAACATTAGCCGAGCGGTGAGTGATAGTGTTCCAATCAGTCTAAACCATCATCTGCGAGAAGGGCGCAACGATCTTCAGAGTGGTGCTGAGTGGATAAGAGTTGTTCATCGAGAACCGTTTGGACTCGTGCTTTAAACCTAACAGATTTGACAGTACATGCTAGTGACGAGGTGACATTCAAGAATGGTAGGTGATAATAAAGGGCAAAACGTACCCATCCACAGTCACATTATAACTACCAGCGAAACAATTGCTGTGACAACGCGAAAATAGGCCTAAAATTAGGACATACTGGGTTGGACTTGGTTTAATTACATGTAATGGTTCTCAGACAAGCCGCCCACCGCCATTTTATCATGGATTTCTCACATCAAGCCATCACCAAACGACAACCGGAAGCTGGATAACTGAAGTGTAGTTCTTCTATTCGTGCCTCACGCCACTGGTATATGGGTCCATCAGGACCATCGAGATTTTGCCTCCACTAAACACCACGCTGTTCAGTTTCAGGCGCTGTGATTCATGATTTGCTTCATTCTCCCTTGAATGGTGCCACGATTAATCCACCAACCTATGCTTACTTTGGATGTGAGGCATACTGTAGCACTCGCTGTACTGTCTCTCACCAACCTGACATCCCGATGGACTTCTGTAGCTTTGGGGCACCCGTCAGGAGCACACGGAAGTTTTCTTTTGAACCTACGAGGAATCTTACATAGAGTTTCTCGCTTGCTACAACGAGTTGGATTGTTTTATCCTTCAGCTGTAGCACCCTTTCGGTGCCTAGCTGCCATGCCATACGAAGGAGACACGAGGGCTGGGATACTGCCAGGTTGCCCAAACCTAGACAGGGGAAGTCGAGAGACATAGGTCGGGTTCGAACCACGGACCTTCCGGTCAGTAAATTCGCGCTCTAACCACTTGAGCCATCTCGCTCCCCCCATTGGATTGTTTGGAGGTGGATGTACCTCCGAATAGTTGTGACATGTCAGTAACATGCTCTCAACCTTGCCCATTGTTATATTTCCATTCTAAGGCCTGAAATATTAGGCTTGAAAAGCTTCACTGATGATGATCATGATGGTTAAGGGCAAATACTAATGAAATATCCCGAAAATTGTTGTGCAAACGCAAGGGGGCAAAACTTATTCACGGCTTTCTGATAGGTTGAAAAGAAAACTTCCGTGTGCTCCTGACGAGTGCCCCAAAGCTACAGAAGTCCATCGGGATGTCAGGTTGGTGAGAGACAGTACAGCGAGTGCTACAGTATGCCTCACATCCAAAGTAAGCATAGGTTGGTGGATTAATCGTGGCACCATTCAAGGGAGAATGAAGCAAATCATGAATCACAGCGCCTGAAACTGAACAGCGTGGTGTTTAGTGGAGGCAAAATCTCGATGGCCCTAATGGACCCATATACTAGTGGCGTGAGGCACGGATAGAAGAACTAGACTTCCGTTGTCGAAGACGCGGAAACTGGCTGCAACAAAAGAATGGCAGAAAGTTGTCCCATATATTAGGACACTGGATTACTTCAATTTCCTTTCAATTATAGAAAACCGGTTGGATCAGCCTTATCGAAATGTGGTCACTCGTTTGCAACAGCAGCACCGTGAGCTGTTCATAGTGCGGATGTAAAACCAATTGAAAATCTAGAGTCCACTAGCGAGATAGAATATAGTGGGTAAATTGTGGTCTGCTACGAACAATTGTCAGTGCACATTGGTCAATCCATAACTCAAGACGAAGATGTAAAGCACAAGAACTCTACTGCAGTCTACCCATATATTGAGAACAGATGATCTGAGGCTTAACAGTAGACCTTGTTCTCCGAAATATGCCAGCTGCATCGAAAATCAAAGTATTGAAGACTGACATTAGGTAAATGCTCACTAACAAAAAATCTCACCATGATATCTGCTGTTATTTTCATTGACGATTGCTGAAGCCAATGGATTTTTTGAAGTTGGGTGGGTTGTATCAATACTTGTGAGCATGACTGGGCCCTGATCGAGACTCGTTAGATGTCCGTGATACCCTGGTGTATGGATTTGAACTAAATTCTGCTATCGGCGACCGTTGCGCCCGCTGAATTGACTTACCAAAGCAGTTAATTCGGTAGAGTATGCTATTATATCTGCTTACTAATGTAAAACAAGGCTGACAAAAATTTGTGCACGCTAGCTAAAACCATGAACTGAACTCACCGCTGGGACTGTTTTATAAAAAGAGATGTTCTCCTGGAACCCTTTTTCCGTTTCTTCCCTGAAAGTGGTGTTGTTCCATGAAGACTCGGGTCAGAACGGGAGACCGACCTTGCCGAGGTACCCATCGGTTCTTTCTCCTTTACAAACTCCGAAATCGTATCAAGCATGCCAAACTCGCCCGCCCGTTTGAGGAGCAACGCAGTTCCGGTTCCAACTGCCTTGGTCACCAGAGCACAATATTTCCAAAGTACCGAGCTGGAAGGCACGGCTGAGATTGCATCCGAAAACAGCTCATGCAACCTGACAATTCTTTGCCGCGACGCGGTCGGGGTGGTTGTTTTGCCAAACTCGCTAAGCAAGAGCGCAGCAGACAGCAGCCAGAAGTCCTCTCGGCAGGGCTTATCCAGGCGTCCAATCGCGCACAAACTCTGCGCCAAAAAGTGATCTCCCATGGCGAAAAGCGTTCGGCAAAGTGGAGGGACCAAATGTGGACCGTAAGTTTCCACCAACCGGACGCACAAATCCTGTCGCACACCGGATGAGGAAAACTGAGTCAAACTGATGCGTTGTATCAGCTCAATAAACCATGATGGTACGGCGTGTGCATGCGGTGCGAGCGGGCGGTCGAGAAAAATAGTGCTCAAGCACTGTGAGTAGTCTGAGGTCATGCCTGATGTGAGAAGGCCGTTCGCCAGTGTGACTATCATATGCAGAAGGAGTCTATCGAAGGTAGTTCTATCCTCTGTTGGGGTCTCTGTTGTTTGTTGCTTCTGAAAGTACTCCATGAGGTGCTTCAGTGGAACAGCAGTGTTGACTGAACAGAGAAGACTGTACAAACAGTAACTCAACCATAAATACGTTCTCCCACGGAAGGATAATAGTTCGGAAAGAATAAGAGGCTCGTACTCGGGGGCATCAACACCGAGTAATTCTTCAAAAGATTTCAGTACATCTGAATCCGCGTCAGATGGTAAAAAGGTCAGACCTGCTAAAGATTCCAGTAGCAGAGAGCGGGCGATATCCAAGGATTTCTTGCGACAAGCCAAATTAGCTAACAAGAAACTGAACTCTATTCGAAAGGAAATTGTCAGGGTAGGGCGTAATGATTCAGGTACATTTTTTAATAAAGACGGCCAGTCAAGAGATGCGTCGGAAAAATGGAACACATAAATTGCGGTTGGGAAGAATAAGTCATCAAACTCTTGCAAAAAATCGAGCGCTGAAAAGTGTAAACAAAGTTCCCCAGCCACCTGATACTGTTGGTTCACACATAGCGTCTGTATGTACAAGTAAACCAGAGCAAGATAACAAGTCCTTAGTAAACATGATTCCTTAGTGAAGGCAGGCATATCCCCCACAGCTGCTGTAGTTTTTGGAATTCCCAAATCCGAAACAGCCTCTTCGATCAGAGACTGACATTGTGCTACAGTTCGTTTGGTGAAATTAGGGAAATTCAGCAAAGAGAAAAGGGTGTCCTCAGCTGGAATTCGTTGGCCTAAGGTCAGCAACAGCTTCAGCCACCATAACCCGTACCGAACAGGATGTTTCTTGTTCACATCCTCAAGAAGTTTATCAAGAAGAGAACAGGCCGAATCGATAGTGCATGACTCAGAAAGTAGCCAACACAAGTGATAGGCCAAACAAATAAATGATGTGGATAGAGCGAAGGTAAAATCTTCGGTGTGAGTTGTACGGTTAATCTGAAGCAGCAAAGTCTCCAGAGCTGAACGAGCTATCAACCTACGTACCATTCCATTAAGTAATGGACTGCGAAACACAGACCTGCAGGCGGCGAGAGAATAATCTGATGCTTTTAAACACTCCACAATATCAATCGTCTTTAGCCCTCTTGCTTTAGAATGTATCAACGCAAGATGATGATCTACAAGTTCAGAGTTATCCGCTGCCTGGCGAAGGAGGTCCAAACTTGTGGAGCAGACCTTAGAAAAATCAGTCAGCACACCCGTTGCATTAGACCGTTTATAACCCAAGTACAAAGCATGCCACCTGCGAAGAGTAGGCTCAATGAAGTCCATTGTACTGGTCGATAAGGTCTTTTTGCACACTGGACAAGACTCCTCACCTTCCGAAACGGATGGACTGGCTTGGGAAGTTGTGCTTGTTTCTTTATCGAGCAAGGTTGATGAAAGAAAAGATGGCAATTTATCCAAAGCATTTGGGGGGTGTTGCAATGAACATTCGATATCCTTACACTCTCCATCAAGCGAAAAAGGACAAAGTGGAACATTAGGATCGACACGTGCGACCACGTTTACGGCACATGAGCTATTCCTAGGAGAGCTACTTTGACCCAAAAAACTGTGATTGGTCATATGTTCCGAAGTTGGCAGAGTATAAGGCATTTTCGAAGTCAAAGGGATATCCAACCGGTAGAATGTGAAATAGGGTGTCGTTACTTTGATGTATTGTAATATTTTCAAGAAAGTGGGCATTATACGCATTCTTAACAGTGCGATCGATTCAACAGAAGCAGCTGATATAGGCTTACACTTGTCTGGAGCGGCCGATAGTTTTCTGGTTTGATTCGGAAAATTATCCTTAGCACTTAATCTTACATTATTACATTCGTGTGCATATCGCCGTTGAGCTGATAAAAGTTGTCGCTGATAACTGTGCTGTGCAAGCGACGCCTGTTGAAGAGAGTTGTACGCTTGTTTGTACAACTTCCTTGTGCTTTTCATACGCGCGCGCAATTCGCTGCACGTTCTGAATAGTTTGTTAGTTAGTTGACGCCGTTCTTCCACTATGCGTTGCTGCCGCTTAACTGTTAATGTCAGGCGCAAGAGCTCCATTTTCCTTTGAAGAAGACTCCCTTGCGCTAACTCCGTAGTTGGTGACCGCTTTGCCACAGGAAGGGTGGCTGGATTTGTTTGGGATACTGAAGGGATTACGGTGGAAGTCATAGGATAAGCAGCACGTGTTGTAGTATCGATTGCATCGGTTGCAACAGCCGTTCCGGTTGTGGCAAAAGCTGTTGTGACGACCATTTTAGGTGAGGCTGGAGTTGGAGATGAAGATAATCTCTCTGAAAGCAAAACTACATCATGACTGGTGTCCGGATTACCAGTATTTTGCATTACGCGTCTTACGGGAGAACAGTCGTCGGAAGTATCGCTATCTGACGTATTGGAAACAGTAATAACGAACCTGTTTTGAGCAGCACGTTGTGACAGATGTTTTCCGGAACCAATGAAGAGTGTTTTCGTCACAAGAGAAGCTGCGGAGGATGACGGATTAGTAACTGCATTATCTGAGCAGCTTGAGACTGGGTGTTCATCTTTTATTGGGGAGTGTCTTTGAAGGAGAAGACTACGTAGTGCTCGACTCCTTAACTCCATTTCATCTAGATCAGCTAAATTCTTAGGTAGAGTAAAGGATACTTTACGAGAAAGAGAACTTACATCGCTGCTCACCACGTCGAATAGCGGTCTGTTTAGAACTTCGGACAGCAGATTTGCACAGTCTGAAGGTGGGTCTTTGGTATATTCCTCACTCTCCCCATCTGAAGTAACAACATCCATTGGGACGTCTTCCAGATTTACTTCGTTGAGAGAAGACTCGGTAGCGATGTAAAATGAAGAGGACGAAGTGGGAACTGGAGCATTTATTATCTGGACACTGTTGGGATCGCCTTTTCTTTCTTCTGAAAAGAGGGCGCATCCAAAAATTGTCTCTATTACCGGGCTAAGGGGATAGCCACCGGTTAAGTCGATATTGCCATGAAAGAAAGACACATCCCGAAGTTCATTCCCATCAATGCCGAGAAGTGAAAGTGAATCTTCTGGATGATACTCGACATTGTCATCATCGGGTATCTGTATTGCCACTTTTTCATTTTTTACCAGAGTTTCATATCGCATGGAAGGCCGACGAAAAGTCCTGCGGAGTACACGTCTCCGGTGCTACAAAATAGGAATAGTGTTAAATAACCACTGAGTACTACCTATTAGGCGCTAAATAATTACCTTCGTAATCAGATTTAGATCAATTGTATACCCTTGGGGGGTTTGAGTGGCTTCTGCGTACTTGTAACAGTTACAAATACTTGAAAGGATAGTAACCCAAAGAAGCGGAGCTGGTTTCAAGTTTCTCGTGTAAAAGCCGAAACAAGGTCTCCTGCGAACTGAATATTTGCCATCCATTGTGCTTCGTAGTCTTATTGATGAGATGGTTTGGGAATTCCCATACTACACCCAAATAAATAGAGCGTCTTTTGTGCAATTAACGAATGATTGCACAAATCTCGTCTAAAGGGGACTGTCCCGGAATACTTTTGACAGTGTCTGTTGTCCCACATATCTCTATCCTTTCAGCGCAAAAGCACTGTCAACCTAAGCATTTTGGTCAATTTAATTGAAGGCACATGGCCGACGATACTTTAGCTGCTCTCCCGGTAGAGTGGTCGTCCCGTTAGAATCTGACCTTTCAAGGATCAATATTGAGATCGTTCAAGATCGTTCAGCTGTAGCACCCTTCCGGTGCCTAAATCCCATGCCACCAGAAGGTTGCACGAGGGCTGGGATACTGCCAGGTTGCCCAAGCCTAGACAGGGGAAGTCGAGAGGCAGAGGGTGGATTCGAACCACGGACCTTCCGATCAGTAATTTCGCGCTCTAACCACTTCGGCCGTGTTCAGGGTGTATGTGCTGCCGATTCTCAGCTGCGCTCATGTAGCCAAACTTTATCCAGCTGTCCAGTCACATCAGTACATTTTACTACACTTAGAAGATAGGCGGAAAATCCTCCATCAGATGCAACCGTACAATAAAGTTGTCAATGCTGACGTCCTGAAGAACGAATCTCACAATGATAGGGCAGTAGAATAAATAGAATTATTGTTTGTCGTCCAAAGTCATACACTCCCACAGAGCTAAAGTCGGAATAAGTTAGGGTGAAAATCGGCAGTCTGGTGTGGAAACCACCACAGTCATTGAGTGACAACTGGTTTCGATTTTGGGAGAGCCCAAATTCAAGCCATGTGGTGTAAAGACAGGAGCCCCCTGTTGAAATTTACACGTGGCATGTGCGGCCGGTGTTGCTCATACCTTCAACCACAGAGGACACCGACGAGAGATCCGAAAAGGAATCAGCCTACGATCGCTCCATTCTGGATGCCGAAATTCCACCCAAGCTGACTGGCAAACAAAGAACACTATTCTCTGGCTTGGTTCACTAGTTTGAGCGCGCGACCATACATTCTGCCATCTGCAGACTGTCTGTGTGCGCACGACAGACGAGACATTCACTCAGGCAATCTGGATAGAAACTGACAACGAGGACGCTACTGACATCGATTGGCAGTCATATCTTGTGGTCTCTAACCAGGCACAGTGAGGATCAAGCGGTTCCCATCCCGGAAGGCAAGTACCACCGACAGCAGACAAACGTTTCGTAATCTCCTTCATACTCCTCTGCCAAGTCAAGGGTTGGCCACCTCTCTGCTTACGCCACTGAGTTTGGCATGGAATAAAGCACACCATACGGCAAATGATGGTTCGGAATACACAATACATGTCCAAACCAAAGCAACTTCTGGTGCTGAACACATTCTCCAACGGAAATGCCCGTTCCACAAGTGAAAACGCTCTTTCTAATTGTCTCGTTACTGATACGCCGACACCATCCCACGCGAGCTATGGTTCTGGAACAATCATTATCGAACACCTGAAAACGTCTCAGTTCCGCTGCTCAAACAGGTCAGGTCTCACAGCCATACAACGAAACAGCCCGCACTGTAGCTTGATACATACGTCCCTTGAGATTCAGGGATACACCACTCTGACGCCATAGGCGTCTCAAACTAGCAAACGCGACCCGGGCCTTGCAGATTCGTGCATCGACTTCATGTCACACTACAGTCGGAACAAATACAACTTGCAATTACGTAAGACGCTCCACAACTTCCAGTATCTCTCCGTGGATTGTAAGTGGTGCGCTCAGTGACTGCACGTCCACGAGCATGACACTTTATGGGTGCAAAGTACATACCAAATGACGGAATGACTCTGGTCAGTTCATCCAAAAACACCTGCGCCCTCTCCTCCTCTTCGAAGATGAGAACGACGTCGTCTGCACATTCCACATCGACAAGGTCTTCGTCACAGGCTACCTGCATACCACGGTTTTGTAGACCGCCGAGCGTTCGTCTCATTATCTCATCGATCACGAAGATAAAAAGGAACGGAGAGAGCCGGCATCCCTGAAGAACACTGCTTTGTGTGTGGAAGCTTTTGTTAAGCTCTCCATATACTCTGACACATCCGGAAGTCTGAAAATGCAAAGACATATTATGTTTACAAACTTCCGGGGTATTCGTTGGTGGGCAAGTGTATCAAGAAGAACACACCGATCAACCGAATCAAATCCACCTTGAAAATTAAGGAACACTAAAATTGTGGGCCACTTATACGTACGACTTTGTTCTAGCACCTGACGGAGTATGAAGATTTGGTCAACCCAACCCCTACCAGGCCGGAATCCCGCTCGCTGCTCTCGAGTCGATGTCTCACGAGTCACCGAAAGGCGACGAAGTACGACTGACACCAACAGTCTCGTTACGACCGGGGTCAACCTGATCCTCATGTGGTTACCATACTCACTACGAGCCCATTTTTTTTAAAGTGGGTACTATCACCGACTGTCCCCAGCTGTCTGAGACAGAATCCTTTTCCCAAATGCACGCAAACAGATCAGACAAGCTGACCGAGGACTTCATTCCCGTCTTTGAACAATTCGGGTGGGAGGTTATCCGAAACTCGGTGACGCATGAGAGAACATATGCAGTCGTAAACCTCCGGAGCCGTAGAGCGTTCCACGTTCACTGTCCAGGGTTTTACTTCATCTATGGGTTCTAGATGAATGCCAACTGGTGACCACCACAGTTGTTGTTCGAAGTATTCAGCCCAGCGACCTAGGCGTACTTCTTTATTCGAGATGATCGTTCCATTCTGATGCTTGATGGTTTCGCTCACAAGTGGTTTCCGGGGCCCAGTCGCATGGATCAACTGAAATAATCTTCGGGCATTACCTGCTTTCTGGGCCTCTTCCATTTATTTGGCTTTCTGTGTCCACCATACTTCATGGTCGGCTCTGGACCAGCTGCGATATTTTTTCGGTATTTAAGCAGTGCCACCGTTCGGTTTGATATCCAATGTTTATGTGCGCCTGGTGGTACTGTGCCACAGGCGAAATTCCCAGTACTATGCAAAGTGGTGGCAATCTAATGGTGGAGCGATCAGAAGACTCTAGAAGGCGATTGTGGTAAATTCGTCTAACACCTGGATCTGCCAGCCTCTCAGTTGCCAAGCGATTTGTCTCAACCTCACACGAACAATCATTATCGAACACCTGAAAACGTCTCAGTTCCGCTGCTCAAACAGGTCAGGTCTCACAGCCATACAACGAAACAGCCCGCACTGTAGCTTGATACATACGTCCCTTGAGATTCAGGGATACACCACTCTGACGCCATAGGCGTCTCAAACTAGCAAACGCGACCCGGGCCTTGCAGATTCGTGCATCGACTTCATGTCACACTACAGTCGGAACAAATACAACTTGCAATTACGTAAGACGCTCCACAACTTCCAGTATCTCTCCTTGGATTGTAAGTGGTGCGCTCAGTGACTGCACGTCCACGAGCATGACACTTTATGGGTGCAAAGTACATACCAAATGACGGAATGACTCTGGTCAGTTCATCCAAAAACACCTGCGCCCTCTCCTCCTCTTCGAAGATGAGAACGACGTCGTCTGCACATTCCACATCGACAAGGTCTTCGTCACAGGCTACCTGCATACCACGGTTTTGTAGACCGCCGAGCGTTCGTCTCATTATCTCATCGATCACGAAGATAAAAAGGAACGGAGAGAGCCGGCATCCCTGAAGAACACTGCTTTGTGTGTGGAAGCTTTTGTTAAGCTCTCCATATACTCTGACACATCCGGAAGTCTGAAAATGCAAAGACATATTATGTTTACAAACTTCCGGGGTATTCGTTGGTGGGCAAGTGTATCAAGAAGAACACACCGATCAACCGAATCAAATCCACCTTGAAAATTAAGGAACACTAAAATTGTGGGCCACTTATACGTACGACTTTGTTCTAGCACCTGACGGAGTATGAAGATTTGGTCAACCCAACCCCTACCAGGCCGGAATCCCGCTCGCTGCTCTCGAGTCGATGTCTCACGAGTCACCGAAAGGCGACGAAGTACGACTGACACCAACAGTCTCGTTACGACCGGGGTCAACCTGATCCTCATGTGGTTACCATACTCACTACGAGCCCATTTTTTTTAAAGTGGGTACTATCACCGACTGTCCCCAGCTGTCTGAGACAGAATCCTTTTCCCAAATGCACGCAAACAGATCAGACAAGCTGACCGAGGACTTCATTCCCGTCTTTGAACAATTCGGGTGGGAGGTTATCCGAAACTCGGTGACGCATGAGAGAACATATGCAGTCGTAAACCTCCGGAGCCGTAGAGCGTTCCACGTTCACTGTCCAGGGTTTTACTTCATCTATGGGTTCTAGATGAATGCCAACTGGTGACCACCACAGTTGTTGTTCGAAGTATTCAGCCCAGCGACCTAGGCGTACTTCTTTATTCGAGATGATCGTTCCATTCTGATGCTTGATGGTTTCGCTCACAAGTGGTTTCCGGGGCCCAGTCGCATGGATCAACTGAAATAATCTTCGGGCATTACCTGCTTTCTGGGCCTCTTCCATTTATTTGGCTTTCTGTGTCCACCATACTTCATGGTCGGCTCTGGACCAGCTGCGATATTTTTTCGGTATTTAAGCAGTGCCACCGTTCGGTTTGATATCCAATGTTTATGTGCGCCTGGTGGTACTGTGCCACAGGCGAAATTCCCAGTACTATGCAAAGTGGTGGCAATCTAATGGTGGAGCGATCAGAAGACTCTAGAAGGCGATTGTGGTAAATTCGTCTAACACCTGGATCTGCCAGCCTCTCAGTTGCCAAGCGATTTGTCTCAACCTCACACAGCCCAGGGAAACGTAGTGAGAAGCGACTCCGGACGAGTGCGTAGTCAGAATCCACAAATGTGTTTCAAAACGACCGGCAGTCAGTTAATGATCGGCAGCCAATGGTAACTTGATCGATTTGAGTTTGTGGCAGGTACGCCGTTGGAGGACACCATGTGGCCAGACGACTTCGGCTATTTCGGATGTTAGTACTGCATAAAAACAGCCTGCGGTCAGCACAGAGCTGGAGCAAGAGTTCACCATTGTCCCTAAATACCGGGTCCAATCCATGTCGAACTCCTAATTGAATCTCAGATAATCTAATTCTGCCCACTTGTGCATTCATATCT